GTATTATAGTATATATGTAATTGTTATATATATTATATATATGTAATCTTTCTGTGTCTCCCTGGGTAGAGTGCAGTGGCATCATCATAGCTCACTGCAACCTTAAACCTCGTGGCTCGAGTGATCCTCTTACCTCCAATATCCCGATTGCTCGGTGTACATCATAATGACCAGCTAACTTTATTTTAGTAGAGAGGGGTCTCACTTTTGCTCAGCTGGTCTTGAGCTTCTGAGCTCGAGCTATGCTCCTGACTTGGTTCCCAGGGAGTATTGGATTATAGGTTGAGCCACCGCATCCAGCCTGTATCTTTTTGTATCGTGTATCATTAGCACAAGTGCATTATTATTTTTAACTGTTTTTGTCTTTTGAAATCTTAAGCATTACATTCACATCATATAAATAATACAGAATGCTGTATTTGTGTGTATAATTGCCTTTACCTGAGAACTTTAATTTCAGTGACTTTTGTTGCTATCTGTTATCTGCCATCATTTTAATGTGAAAAATGGACTCTGGCATTTCTTGCAGGGAAAGTCTGGTGTATATAAATTCATTCAACTTTATAATTTGAAATTATTTCTTACAAGCACAACTTGTTACAAAAATTCCATTTTTTATTTAAATTTAATTTAATTTTACTTTATTCTTTTTATTTCATAATCTTTTTTTCAAGGAACATCCTTGTTCATAATTATTTTAAATAACATCATTTCATAAATAGGTTTTTATATTATAGTTGTCCTTTTTTTAGTACACTGAATATATCATCCTGCACCTTTTGGCCTGCCAAGATATTTTGCTGCAATATGTGTTGATCATCTTATAAGAGGACACTGTACATGCCAAGTCACTTTTGCTTGCTGATTAAGGTTCTCCTTGAAACTTTTTTTTTTTTTTTTTATATTTATTTATTTTATGAAGACAGAGTCTCACTTTGTTGCTCAGGCTAGAGTGAATGCGTGGCATCAGCCAGCTCACAGCAACCTCCAACTCCTGGCTCAAGCAATCCTCATGCCTCAGCCTACCCAGTAGCTGGCCTACAGGCATGTGCCACCATGCCGGCTAATTTTTTCTATATATATTAGTTGCCAATTAATTCTATTTGTAGAGACGGGGTCTCACTCTTGCTCAGGCTGGTTTCGAACTCTGACCTCAGCCATCCGCCCTCCTCGGCGTTCAGAGTGCTAGGTTACAGCGTGAGCCACGGCACTGGCCTCTTTGAAACTTTTAAATTTCTGATTGTAATGTATCTCTTGGTGGTTGTCTTTGTATTAGTCCTGTTAGAGTTGCTGGGTTTCTTGAAACTTTATGCTATTTCTCCTTCAGATTTAGAAAATTGTATCCATGATTTCTTCAAATAATCTCCGCTATTTCTTAAATAATCTGCATGTTTTCTTGTTTTTTTCATTCTAGTTTCTCCATTATCATTGTAGTGACCTACATGATGGGCATCCCAAAGTCCCTTGGGCTCTCTTACCGTTTTCTCATTTTTTGCCTTTTTCTCTATAATTTTAGATGACCTATTACCACGATTGCTGTCTTTTTTGTTTATTCAAGTCAAAGCTATCAACCAACTGTAACAAACTTTGTTATTTTATTGTTCAGTCCATACTGTATGCTTGTGTTTCTAGATTTTTGATTTTTGTCAGTGAACTATTTGCTTTATACATTGTTTTCTTAATTTTGTTTAGTTGTCTGTGTTCTCATTTAGGTGATTAAGATCTTTAGATAGCAATTTAATTCTTTTCAAATTAATTAGTAGATCTTCACTTCTTAGGTCTACTTGAATATTTTTGACTTTTATTTCTTTGATGTCTTCTGATTATTGTTAAAATTCTGGTCATTTAAAAACAGCTACCTGTCCCATCCTTATGGAGTGCTTTGTACAGGGAAAAATGGACATTATTCAACAACACTAGACATTCTGGGAGTTTCTCCTGACTGTTGGCCATATGTCTCCTCTACTATAATGTGTACATTTTTCTGTTAAATGATTCCCTCATTTTTCATAAAAGCATTTAATTTCTTTGTGTCCCTTGGCAAATATAATTGGTACTGCATTCTCTCTGTTGCTGTAAAAACATTCATGTTTGTTTTCACTGGACCCACACTGTCATTTAACTACAACTCCATTCCTGTTGTATCCATATTAAAGAAATAGTACTTAGAGTACCGAAAACTCAGATTTGGACACATGTTCCAGTCTCTTTGTTTCCTGAGGGAGAGAAAAAGAGGGCAAGTTTATTTCCTTTTTCTTTTTTTCCCACTATGCTGTGGTGCACAGAATATAAAAACTTTCCCTTCTTAACTTGGCTCTTCTTGGCTTTGACTCACTAGGGTTACTGCAACTCAATTGATTTTCCTTAGCATATCTTTGTTAAGTTTATATATTGCTTGAAAAACAGGGCCTCAAGTTTTTGATTCAGTATCATGCTGTTCTCAGGTTGGTTATATTTGTATTTTTATTGTAAAGTATATATTCGCCCAAATATAGTAATTGGAATTTTGAAAACTTTTGATATCTTTCAGGGATTTTTCTAATTACACTGAAAGCCTGTGGACAAAAAGTACATAGAAGATCTATTCCAAAAGTGATATGTGGGACGATTTTGGGAGTTGTAGCTTTCAAAATTTACACTTAGAAGACTGCGAAGGTGAGGGTGAATGTGAAGCACAAAATGGATGTAGTGATGGACATAAAAAAGTAGGACAATACCTAAATAAAAATGTCACTATAGCAGAGGTCAAACATGTAAAATATTTGGAGAAAAAACTGATTCTTGTCAGTTACTTTTGCTGAACTCACATTTCTGTAAGTAATGGTCAATATCAATTTTTGGAACATACCTTTTCTCTGAATGGAAATTTAGAAAAGTAAATAGTGACCTCATCTATGTATCAATAATCTGAACCAATTAATATATGAATTGCATTAAATTTGCAGTCACTATTTCTGAGGATCTGACAGTTAAAAATACGGAATGTTTTAAATGTGATCAATTGGTGGGATCCTTTGTTAAAAGTTTATTATTATTCTACAAATGTAATACCTTCTATTGCCAAAATCTACAACTTTGATCTGTATGGAAGGTTTTACCCGTCACCATTGCCTAATCTGTGTCAGGGAATAGATATTTGGGTAAAACATTACATATATAATAAACTTTAATACCCTTTAGCCAGGTATCTACCTAATAATTACCAGAATATTTGTATTGGAGACAAAATTATCAATGCCAAATCTGAGAAAACCTTTGGACATGTCTAGCCTGGAAAACATCAGAAAAGTCATTTTCCTGAGAACCATTTCAAATGTAAAAAGTGTGAGAAAGTCTTTCATCAATACTCAAAGCTGCTTATCCATCAGAGTATTCATATTCAAGAGAAGTCTGGCAATGTAATAAAGTGTAGAAGCTTTTATTCAGTCATCAAAACATTCTCAGCATCAAGGAATCCATTTTGGAGAAACTCATGTGATATATAAATGCAGAAAGTCTTTAGAGTCATCAATAAAAAAAATATAAGATAATCCATACTAAAGAAAAATCGTACAAATGTAAAGAATGTGGCAAAATCTTAACTGGAGTCTCATCATTACTCGACATCAGAGAATTCCATACTGGAGAGAAGGCCTACAAATGTAAGGACTGTGGCAAAACATTTATCTGTAGTTCACAACTTATCAACATCGAGAGTTCATACTGGGAGAAAGCCTACAGATGTAAAGAATGGGCAAAGCTCTTAAGTGTATTCACATCTTACTCGACATCAGAAAATTCATACCAGAGAGAAAGCCCTACAAATGTCAAGAATGTTCCAAAACCTTTAAGTATAGTTCATATCTACTCAGCACCTTCGACTCATTCTGGAGAGAAAACAGTACAAGTGTGAAGATGCAGTAAGTCTTTTACTCTCCATCGAGTCTTATTTGCATCAGAAAATTCACAATGAAGAAGCCCACAAATGTAAGAGATGGGCCAAAAAGGGTCCCTTATGTATAGATCTCTGAAAAAAAAAAAAGTGTTAGGTGTACGGGACTCTGCTGTGCCTGGTGTCTCTAGCTGAGTGCAACTGGTGAGAGGTCTGGGGAAGCAACATCAGCATTAACAGGGGACTTGTTAATGAAGACAGTCCATGGACCCTTCCATACCTGAAGGATCACGTCATCTAGACTGGGGCCTGGAACACTAATAATTTATATGCACATTGAAGCTCTAGAGCAGGCGTCCTTAAACTACAGTCCGAGGGCCACATGCGGTGTTTTTGCTCATTTGTTTTTTTACTTCAAAATAAAATAAGTGCAGTGTGCATAGGAATTTGCTCATAGTTTTTTTTAGACTATAGTCCGGCCCTCCAACGGTCTGAGGGACAGTGAACTGGCCCCCTGTTTAAAAAGTTTGAGGACCCTGCTCTAGAGGCAATGCTCAGCAAAGTGGCTCTCTGCCAAGGCCTGCAATTAGGATCACATGGCTGGTTTGAAGGAACACCATCACCTGAGCCACCCACAGCGTCTGTCTATTGGTATGGATGGTACCATCCATGTGGTTTTAATTAAGTAACTCACATGATTCTAAGCTGAGGTTCTGGGGCATGCATGTGGGCTCCCAGATCTGTTTGTGAGAATTGAGTTCAGCCTTTTTTTCCAAAGGGCAGTCACAGGGTCTGCTTTGCTTGGGTTTTGTGAAGGTGAGTCAGTGTGGCCCATATTGCCATTGCTGCAGCAGAAATTGTTGGTGTCTGAGGCAGGTGAGGGCACCCGAGGGCAGGAAAGGAGAAACTCACATTTTGATCTTTATGTAGGAGCTCAATATTACTGAATCTCACCTGTGACAAAGGACAGATGGGCGTCACCTTTTCTATACTTTAAGCTGCTTCTGCCTGTGGGTGTGGTGGTAGCAGGTGAAGGGATTGTGCTGATGTCTTTAAAGGCATATTCTGAAGATGCAGCTGTGATTTGTTCAGATAATCTCACCTGAGAAGAATCCTAGAGGAGGAGGAAGAAGAGGAAGAAATGGCTGGTTCTCGGGTAAGTGTCTGCCAGGGGCTGTGTCCATTTTTACTCCTTGAATGTCATATATTTAGGACTTGAAGATCATTGCTCCTCTACTTCTGATGTTTCTGCCTAACAACATTGTCTGAGCTTCTTTTTTTTCTTTCTTATCATATTGAAGAGGCTCTTTAAAATAATTCTCCACTGTATGCCAGAGCCTTCCCTCCATTCGCTGCAGCCAGGCTTTTTATATACTGTGAACAATGCTCACTGTGAATTTATGACCTGCAATAGTGAAACTGTCCCCTTTTTGACAGATCAACATGGGAAAGTGTGGATACCCAAGATTCCTCTTGGGAATGGGGTTAGGTTCTTGGATATCAGTGAAGAAAAAGAAGATGTACAGTTGAGGTCACATCAGAATGCACTAGTATCTCTATGTCAAACAGGATTAAAAGCACACATTTAAAGAGGATGACATTAATTGCCAAAGATAACTTAGAAAGTTCTAAAAAAGAGATTAATCAGAAGAGTTGTGTCGTCTGAAAGAGGGGTCTCCAAACCTGTGGTGAGTTGTATAACTATTTCATTATAAATTGCAATGTAATAATAGAAATAGTGTACAGTAAATAATGCACTTGAATCATCCCAAACTTACGCCCCTCAACTGTCCATGGAAAAATTGTCTTCCATGAAAATGGTCCCTGGTGCCAAAAAGGTTGGGGACCGCTGCTCTAGGCTGCTAAAGAAAGACTAAATACACTATTAGAGATTACAGATCATTGAAAATATATGTGGTTTAAACTTTGCATAAAATTGATGTTTTCTTATGCCTAGATTCAGATTGTGATTTATTTTTTTTTTAAAAAAATTTGGCCAATAAACTCACAGCAGTGGTGTATCATGTGTGCATCAGCACCACATAACACTGTTTTTTCTGACAGTTGATGTTAATTTCATTCACTTGGATAAGGTGCTGTCTAACAGATTCCTCCACTATAAAGTAATTATTTTTATTTTTATTATTCTTGGGAACTTTTACTAACTGATGTACAAAAAACATTACATTTAATGTGGAAGGTCTGCTTTCTTCTTAGTTTCTTTAGCTTGCTTTGCAAAATGAAGGCTCTCATCTTTGTTTACTGGTCAGATGAACTGGGATAAAATCTGGATTCTACCACTTACTGTGTGTTTGACAAAATATTCTTCTTGGGCTGGAAGACTTGGCATTACTTGTGAGTTTGTTAGAAATGCAAAAACCTGGGCCCCATTCCAGACCTTCTAAATCAGAACCTGCATTTTAACAAGATCTCCAGTTCACTGTAGTACACGTTAAAAATTTAGAAATATCCTTCTAACTCATAATGACATTTCCATATCAGAAATATATACAACTTATTGTGTAATATATATACATCACTTAAAAATATATATGCCTATGTTGATGACCTTAATTTTTTTTTTTTTTTTTTTTGAGACAGAGTCTCACTCCATTGCATTGAGTAGAGTGCGTGGCCTCAGCCTAGCTCACAGCAACCTGAAATTCCTGGGCTCAAGTGATCCTCCTGCCTCAGCCTCCCGAGTATCTGGGACTACAGGCGCACACCACCATGCCTGGCCAATGCCCTTAATTTTATACTTTTATCATACAGAAAATTATAGTATCTACACTTGTTTTGTAGATTTTTTGCTATCCTCTGTCCTCAGAGTTAGAGAATACATTAGTGCATATTACTATGTTAATTATTGGATAATTCTAGTCATTCTTGTAAGTCAGAGCTAGTTCTCTTTACTCTCTAATTTCACTTTTAGTCAAATTGAGAATGCTTCCCATGGCTACTTGGTAAATATATATATTTTTTCCAGGGACTGGTGACTTTCAGAGATGTGGCCATTGAATTCTCTGTAGAGGAGTGGGCATGTCTGGGTCCTGCTGAACAGAATTTGTATACAGATGTGATGCTCGAGAATTATAGAAACCTGGTCTTCCTGGGTGAGGATAACTTCCCTCTAAGATTTGTAATATACTCTAAGAGTTTCATTTTCTTTCTTTGTGAAATGTTTTTTGGGAGTTCCTTCTTTGCATGAATGAGTTTTAGATTCCTGCTTTCAAAGAAAACTTTGAGGCTTGTTAGTGTAGAAAACAAAATATTCAAGATGTTTCATCCTAACATATACCTTTCCCTATATCAAACTGATATGAATATTTCACTCTAGATTGGTGACAATTACAGAAATTCAGTGATATAAAATATTATTGCCCAAACTTTAAAATCCAGTTTTGACCACCAATTTTTGATTCAGTAGTACTAGAAATTGGATGTAAGGAACCACAAATTTAAAATATTTCCTAAATACTGCTTCAGATTTTTTTTCTCCCAGGAAACAGTATTCTGGAAATTTTCTAGAAACTTCTATAATGTTCATTCTTCTCTACTAAACACAGTACTAGGCTGGTAATTGGAGAAACCTAGCAAGAGTCATGTTACTTTTTTCCTAATAAAATAGGTCTCACCACCTCTAAGCCAGACCTGATCATCTGTCTGGAGCAAAGGAAAGAACCCTGGAATGTGGTGAGACATGAGACAGTAGCCAAACACTCAGGTACGTGTAATATAGGTGAGAGATCCAAAGGCCTAGGAGAAACCAAACCTTAAAATGTGGTTTGTGAAGCTTTACTCCAATGGAAATGGTTTTGGAGAAGCCTGGATTTCTTTTCCTTGCTGTCACATAAGTACATCCTCTGTTCATGCTCTGAAATTCTCTAAGGACCCTACTTTTTTTTTTTTTGAGACAGAGTCTCACTTTGTTGCCAGGCTAGAGTGAGTGCCATGGCGTCAGCCTAGCTCACAGCAACCTCAAACTCCTGGCTCAAGCAATCCTCCTGCCTCAGCCTCCCAAGTAGCTGGGACTACAGGCATGCGCCACCATGCCGGCTAATTTTTTGTATATATGTTAGTTGGCCATTAATTTCTTTCTATTTATAGTAGAACGGTTCTCGCTCTTGCTCAGGCTGGTTTCGAACTCCTGACCTCGAGCAATCCGCCCGCCTGCCCTCCAGAGAGCTAGGATTACAGGCGTGAGCCACCGCGCCCGGCCTAGGACCCTACTTTTTTTCGGTGATCTTCCTTTGAGCCTAAGTCCTCTTCATGGCTTATAAGGAATTGCATGATCTGAATGATCTTCTGTTGCTTTGGGGAACATGGGAGTATCTGTGTGTATTTTTGAGGAACTCTACTTTAAACCATTGTGTTCGTTCCTTTTTTACATCATGTGTGAAATATGTGTGAGTAGTGCTATTGCTGGAATTTGCTTCAGAAATCCCAGGACATCAGAGACACATGTATATTTTCTGCTTTATGATTTCATATATGAGGTTTCATTGTTATTTTGCAGAAATTTATGCTCAGAAATTTTATCAGAGCACTAAGAAGCTCCCTAAATATAAAAAATCTAATGTTATTTTACTTCAGAGTTTCATTCTTTTGTGTGAATTCAGATTAATATTATACCATATTTTTATATTCCTCAACTGTAATAAGTTTAATGTATCTACTCACTTCCTAGATTTCTTGAATATAATGTGTCATTAGGGATCTTAGAACACTGCTGAGCATATGTTAACTCTCATTTGTAACTTTACATTTTAATAAATATTATCTTATGTTTCTCTAGTATGAAGCGTACCTTGACTGTGTCATTCATATATTATTGTATCATATATATGAATATATATACATGTGTTATATACATTTGTTATGTATATAATGTGTTTATACATATATACATGTGTTTATATCTATGATTGTGTATGATGTATAGCATGTAGATTTGTATAACTAAATATTTTGTTGTGTACTATTATGTGCAATTTAACTTCTATGCATAAAAAATTCAACACTTTCTGTCCCTCCACACATGTTATACAATATATGTTACCCTTCACATTTTATATTGTATATCTAAGTTAAAAATTGTGGTATGTTCATTTTTAATACTCCTGTTTTATAGCTTTTATACTAGAGTTGAAAGTAATTTATATACTACCATTATTGTTTTAGAGTATTGTGAATTTAACTATTTGCTATTTTCAGTGAGATTTATACTTTTATGTTTTCATATTTATTGAAATTCCATTGTTTAACTTGAAGAATTTTCTTTAATCTTTCTTTTTTTTTTTTTTTTATTTTTTTATTTTTTTATCTTTGGTGCCGTGACTCGATACGTTAATCATTTCTTGTAAGACAGGTCTAGTGGTATCTTTTGTTACTGTTGTTGTTTGAGAACATCTTCATCTTTCCTAAAGGACAGTTGTCAAATATAGTCTTCTTAGGAGCCAATATTTTTGTTCTTTTTTATTCTTTTTTTAGCATGTTGAATATATTATCTAATTCCTACCTGGCCTGCAAAGTTTGTGCTGGGAAATATACTCATAACCTTATAGATGTTCCCTTGTATGTGAAACTCTCTTACCTTTTGCTGCATTTAAGATTCTCACTTCATTTTGAGTTTTGACATTGAGTTATAAGTGTCCTGGAGCAATCTTAATTAGGTTTATTTATTTATTTATTTTTGCTTTAGTTTTTTGAGATTCATGAAACTGTATTTCTATATCCTTTTCTAGATCTGGAGAGTATTAAGATATTTTATCTTTAATCTTTTTTTCTGTCTCTTTTCCTTCTGAAAACCCATAAATGCATTTTTCTATGCTTTCATTTTGCTTATGTGTCCTCAGACGTAAGTGATATTTTTGTAGAAAGCATAGAATTGGATTTTGTTGTTTGAATTTATTCAGCTAAGTTACGTATTTTGATTGATTTATTTATTTAGTGTAAAATGATTACTGAGAAGAGATTACTTACTATTGCATATTTGTAAATATATATATTTTAGACAGAGTCTTACTTGTTGCCCAGGCTATAGTGCCGTGGCGTCAACCTAGCTCACAGTAACCTCAACTCTGGGCTCAAGCAATCCTTCTGCCTCAGCCTCCTGAGTAGCTGTGACTACAGGCATGTGCCACCATGCCTGGCTAATTTTTCCATATATTTTTAGTTGTCCGACTAATTTTAGTAGAGACAAGGTCTCACTCTTGCTGGGCTTGTCTGGAACTTCTCACTTCGAGTGATCTTCCCGCCTTGGCCTCTCAGAGTGCTAGGATTACAGGCGTGAGCCACCACTCCTGCCTATTTTGTAGATCTTATAGCAAAATTGTTTGTTTTTTCTCTTACTGTCTTATCTTTATTGATTTTGTAGTGACATGTTTTAATTTCTTTGTCATTAACTTTTGTGTCTGTTTACATAGGATTATTCATTGTGGTTACATAGATATTACATAAAATATTTAAAGTTATAACAACCTATTGTAAGGTGATAACTTCAATTGCATAGAACCCCCTCCTCTTTCTATCTGAACATTGCATTTCATGGATATCTCACATTTTATATATATATATATTATATATATATATTATGTATATATATATATATATATGTAATCTTTCTGTGTCTCCCTGGGTAGAGTGTAGTGGCATCATCATAGCTCACTGCAACCTTAAACTCGTGGGCTCGAGTGATCCTCTTACCTCAATATCCCGAGTTGCTCGGTGTACATCATAATGACCAGCTAACTTTTCTATTTTTAGTAGAGAGGGGGTCTCACTTTTGCTCAGGCTAGTCTTGAGCTTCTGAGCTCGAGCTATGCTCCTGACTTGGTCTCCCAGGGAGTATTTGGATTATAGGTGTGAGCCACCGCATCCAGCCTGTATCTTTTTGTATCGTGTATCCATTAGCACAAGTGGATTATTATTTTTAACTGTTTTTGTCTTTTGAAATCTTAAGCATTACATTCACCATCATTATAAATAATACAGAATGCTGTATTTGTGTGTATAATTGCCTTTACCTGAGAACTTTACATTTTCACGTGACTTTTGTTGCTATCTGTTATCTGCCATCATTTTTTAATGTGAAAAATGGACTCTGGCATTTCTTGCAGGGAAAGTCTGGTGTATATAAATTCATTCAACTTTTATTAATTTGAAAATTATTTCTTACAAGCACAACTTGTTACAAAAAATTCTAATTATTTTTTATTTTAAAATTTAATTTAATTTTTACTTTATTCCTTTTTATATTTCATAATCTTTTTTTCAAGGAACATCCTTGTTCATAATTTATTTTAAATAACACTCATTTCATAAATAGTGTTCTTATATTATAGTTGTCCTTTTTTTAGTACACTGAATATATCATCCTGCACCTTTTCGGCCTGCAAGATATTTTGCTGCAATATGTGTTGATAATCTTATAAGAGGACACTCGTACATGCCAAGTCACTTTTTGCTTGCTGATTTCAAGGTTCTCCTTGAAACTTTTATTTATTTATTTATTTATTTATTTATTTATTTATTTATTTATTTATTTATTTATTTATTTATGAGACAGAGTCTCACTTTGTTGCTCAGGCTAGAGTGAATGCCGTGGCATCTTATTTATGAGACAGAGTCTCACTTTGTTGCTCAGGCTAGAGTGAATGCCGTGGCATCAGCCTAGCTCACAGCAACCTCCAACTCCTGGGCTCAAGCAATCCTCATGCCTCAGCCTACCCAGTAGCTGGGCCTACAGGCATGTGCCACCATGCCTGGCTAATTTTTTCTATATATATTAGTTGCCAATTAATTTCTATTTATAGTAGAGACGGGGTCTCACTCTTGCTCAGGCTGGTTTCGAACTCCTGACCTTCAGCCATCCGCCCTCCTCGGCGTTTCAGAGTGCTAGGGTTACAGGCGTGAGCCACGGCACTGGCCTCTTTGAAACTTTTACATTTCTGATTGTAATGTATCTCTTGGTGGTTGTCTTTGTATTAGTCCTGTTAGAGTTGGCTGGGTTTCTTGAAACTTTATGCTATTTTTTCCTTCAGATTTAGAAAATTGTATCCATGATTTCTTCAAATAATCTCCGCTATTTCTTAAAATAATCTGCATGTTTTCCTTGCTTTTTTTCATTCTAGTTCTCCCATTGTCATTGTAGTGACCTACATGATGGCATCCCAAAGTCCCTTGGGCTCTCTTACCGTTTTCTCATTTTTTTGCCTTTTTCTCTATAATTTTAGATGACCTATTACCACGATTGCTGTCTTTTTCTTGTATTAGATCAAGTCAGCTATCAACCAACTGTAACAAACTTTGTTATTTTATTGTTCAGTCCCATACTGTATGCTTGTGTTTCTAGATTTTTGATTTTTGTCAGTGAACTAATTTGCTTTATACATTGTTTTCTTAATTTTGTTTAGTTGTCTGTGTTCTCATTTAGGTGATTAAGCATCTTTAGATAGCTATTTTAAATTCTTTTCAAATTAATTAGTAGATCTTCACTTCTTAGGGTCTACTTGAATATTTTTGACTTTTTATTTCTTTGATGTCTTCTGATTATTGTTAAAATTCTGGTCATTTAAAAAACAGCTACCTGTCCCATCCTTATGGAGTGCTTTGTACAGGGAAAAATGGACATTATTCAACAACACTAGACATTCTGGGAGTTTCTCCTGACTGTTGGCCATATGTCTCCTCTACTATAATGTGTACATTTTTCTGTTAAAATGATTCCCTCATTTTTCATAAAAGCATTTTAATTTCTTGTGTCCCTTGGCAAATATAATTGGTACTGCATTCTCTCTGTTGCTGTAAAAACATTCATGTTTGTTTTCACTGGACCCACACTGTCATTTAAACTACAACTCCATTCCCTTTAGTACTCCATATTAAAGGAAATAGTACTTAGATACCGAGAAACTCAGAACTTTGGACACATGTTCCAGTCTCTTTGTTTCCTGAAGGAGAGAAAAAAGGAGGGGCAAGTTTATTTCCTTTTTTCTTTTTTTCCCACTATGCTGTGGTGCACAAATATAACAAACTTTCCCCTTCTTAACTTGGCTCTTCTTGGCTTTGCACTCACTAGGGTTACTGCAAACTCAATTGATTTTTCCTTAGCATATCTTTGTTAAGTTTATATATTGCTTGAAAAACAGGGCCTCAAGTTTTTGATTCAGTCATCATGCTGTTCTCAGGTTGGTATACTTTTGTATATTTTATTTGTAAAGTATATATTCGCCCAAATATAGTAATTGGAATTTTGAAAACTTTTGATATCTTTCAGGGATATTTTCTAATTACACTGAAAGCCTGTGGACAAAGAAGTACATAGAAGATCTATTCCAAAAAGTGATATTGAGGAGATTTGGGAGTTGTAGCTTTCAAAATTTACACTTAAGGAAAGACTGGGAAGGTGAGGGTGAATGTGAAGCACAAAATGGATGTAGTGATGGACATAAAAAAAGTAGGACAACTACCTATAATAAAAATGTCACTTATAGCAGAGGTCAAACATGTAAAATATTTGGGGAAAAAACTAGATTCTTGTCAGTTACTTTTGCTGAACCTCACATTTCTGTAAGTAAATGTCAATATCGATTTTTGGAACATACCTTTTCTCTGAATGGAAATTTAGAAAATGTAAATAGTGACCTCATCTATGTATCAAATAATCTGAACCAATTAATATATAGAATTGCATTAAATTTGCAGTCAACTATTTCTGAGGATCTGACAGTTAAAAATACGGAGATTTTTAAATGTGATCAATTTGGTGGATCCTTTGTTAAAAGTTTATTATTATTCTATCAAAATGTAATACCTTCTATTGCCAAAATCTACAACTTTGATCTGTATGGGAAGGTTTTTACCCCTTCACCATTGCTTAATCTGTGTCAGGGAATAGATATTTGGGTAAAACATTACATATATAATAAAACTTTAATACCCTTTAGCCAGGTATCTACCCTAAATAATTACCAGAATATTTGTATTGGAGACAAAAATTATCAATGCCAAAAATCTGAGAAAACCTTTGACCAATGCTCTAGCCCTGGAAAACATCAGAAAAGTCATTTTCCTGAGAACCATTTCAAATGTAAAAAGTGTGAGAAAGTCTTTCATCAATACTCAAAGCTGCTTATCCATCAGAGTATTCATATTCAAGAGAAGTCTGGCAAATGTAATAAAAGTGTAGAAGCTTTTATTCAGTCATCAAAACATTCTCAGCATCAAGGAATCCATTTTGGAGAAACCTCATGTAGATATAATAAATGCAAGAAAGTCTTTAGTCAGTCATCAAACATAAAAAAATATAAGATAATCCATACTAAAGAAAAATCCTACAAATGTAAAGAATGTGGCAAAATCTTTAACTGGAGTTCTCATCTTACTCGACATCAGAGAATTCATACTGGAGAGAAGCCCTACAAATGTAAGGACTGTGGCAAAACATTTATCTGTAGTTCACAACTTACTCAACATCAGAGAGTTCATACTGGAGAGAAAGCCTACAGATGTAAAGAATGTGGCAAAGCCTTTAAGTGTAATTCACATCTTACTCGACATCAGAAAATTCATACCAGAGAGAAAGCCTACAAATGTCAAGAATGTTCCAAAACCTTTAAGTATAGTTCATATCTTACTCAGCACCTTCGAATTCATTCTGGAGAGAAACAGTACAAGTGTGAAGCATGCAGTAAGTCTTTTACTCGTCCATCGAGTCTTATTTTGCATCAGAAAATTCACAATGGAGAGAAGCCACACAAATGTAAGGAATGTGGCAAAGTCTTTATGTATAGTTCACGTCTTGCTGAGCACCAGAGAATACATACTGGAGAAAAATGTTACGAGTGTAAGGCATGCAGTAAATCTTTTCTTCGTTTATCAAGTCTGCTTGTGCATGAGAGAATTCATACTGGAGAGAAACCCTACAAATGTAAACAATGTGGTAAAACCTTTAACTGTAGTTCAGATCTTACTAAACATCAGAGAATTCATACTGGAGAGAAACCCTACAAATGTAAAGAATGTGGCATAGCGTATACCTACAGTTCAAATCTTTCTCGGCACCAGAGAAGCCATGCCAGAGAAAATGAAAACGAATGTAAAGAATGTAGTAAGTCTTTTACTCGGTTATCGAGTCTTATTAAACATCAGAGAATTCATACTGGAGAGGAACTCTACAAATGTAAAGACTGTAACAAGACTTTTAACTATAGTTCAAATTTTATACAACATCAGAGAATTCATACTGGAGAGAAACCCCACAAATGTAAAGAATGTGGTAAAACCTTTAGCTCTAGTTCAAACCTTACTCAACATCAGAGAATTCATACTGGAGAGAAACCCTATAAATGTAAAAATTGTGGCAAAGCCTTTAACCAGAGTTCACATCTTACCCGACATCAGAGAATTCATATTAGACAAACTCTATAGATGTAATAAATGAGAAAAAACACTTTATCCAAAACAGAAACTTAGAATTCATCAGAGAAATCAGAGGGAAATAAACCTTATGGGTGCAATAAATGTTGGGAAGTATTCACTCAAAACTGAAGTCCAAATGCATCAGGAAATTCACACAAGAAAGAACTAAAGTACAAACACTTTTGATAATTAACTAAACCAGGGTATTTATTATAGGGAATATCCAACATCAAATAAATTAGGCAATTTATTTCCATGCTCCAAAGGAGCAAGAACATTTATGTTTCGACAGGTATAATTATAGTTAATGTATATTTTATTTTTATGGACAGTATTTGAGTTGTTTCAAAAACAAATATTCATATATTTTAATTCTTAAATCAATTGATACTGTGTCTTAATCTCTAGTGTTTATGTGAAAATATGTGGCCTACTCTTCAACAGAAGTATTAGACACCATTTTATATTAGTCACACATCATTAATATCAATATTGTCAGGAATGTGTAATAGAAAACATTTAAGGAATATAGAAAGAAAGGTGTTCTTTTTGTTTAAATTATAAAATGGTGATGCATGTAAACATGTATATGTTCAGGCCATTCTGTATTAAAGCAAAAGAGGAACATTCTAAATTTTCAAAATAATTTATTAATTACCTTTTAAGTGGAAGAAACTGGCCAGTTTGTTAAAATACTGAAATATTCTTGTAGCAGAATGAAGAAGTCTTGTGTATCATTTGCTGTAATAGAACACAAAATAGAAGACTCGAATATTATTTAATGTGATAGAAATAAATAAATCTTCACAGATAACAAAGAGAAGATGTATGAAAGGTTTTAAATGTATTTCCAGTCAACATTCACTAAATGATGATCATCCCTCTTTTAAAATTAAAAAAGGAGAACTTTGAAGTCACTGTGTTGGTAAAACACTAATGCTTCTTGAGTGCTTTTAACTTTATTTTTGCCAGGATACATATAGTGGCTTATTTAGTTTATGAGCAAACATGATTAATTAATAAAACTAAAGTTTTAAAATATTTTAACACTGATGTGCCATGAATGAAATGTTACCCTCCCACTAATGTTAAGAGAAACCTGTTAGCCAAGTTTGTGGCTAAGATCTAAAAACAATATTTTATTGGGGCCGGGCCTAAAAACAATATTTTATTGGGGCCAGGCATGATGGCTCATGCCTGTAATTCTAGCACTCTGGGAGGCCACGGTGGGAAGATCCCTTGAGGTCAGCCCAAGGAAGAGCAAGACCTCGTCTCTACTAAAAATAGAAAAAAATTAGCTGGTTGTGGTGGTGCTCATGTATAGTCCCAGCTACTATAGTCCCAGAGCCGAGGCAGGAGAATCACTTGAGTCCAGGAGTTTGAGGTTGCTGTGAGCTAGGCTAATGGGTGCAGCATGCACTGTAAGGATGGGAAAGTTTGTAGCTGTGACTTGAATGGTGCAAAGGCAATAGATGTAACATCAATGTTTGTATACCTTAATATTTTGAAATACAAAATAATTATTTGTTACAACTTCTTAAAATCATCAAACACAATATGATAGTGAGAATATTATATTCTACCCTATTGTGAAATATAGGCTTCCATAATCTCTTGCAATATGTGTTTTATATCTTATTTGATAAAATATTAAATACATTATGGTTTTAAATTTGATTATTCTGATGCGAGACATGAGTGCAACTGTTTTATTTGGCAGGTGATTACAGAAAGCACAAAGTATAGTGAAGGAAGTGAAATGGGATAGAGGACAAAAACAATAAAATCTATGTTTATTCAGATTTCTGTTTCTACATTTTAAAGTTTTGAGTCACAACTCTAATATTATCTCTAATATTTATAATAACTCTAATATTATCACATGTCTGTTTTGTATTCTTAGAATTACTTATCTGCTGGCTCATAAATAAGCTATGCTTGGGTGCTGCAGAAGTTGTTGAATTTAGCATGCATGTGAATCACCTGAATGGCTTGTGATATCTTGGATTGCTGGGGCTCCTCCTTCATTGTCACTTATTCAGTGGCTCTGGTTGGCAGCAAAGAATGTGTTTTCTTACGATTTCTCGGGATTTTCCAATGTTGCTTGTCCAAGAATCCATCTCAATCACCAGTGTTTGGGTGGTTTGGAACATTTATGGTTTCCTTGGTATACAGAGGTCAGTTAAATATTCATTCAGGGTATACATGTGTGGCCTAGATTAGATCTAAATTCTGACTCTTGGACTGAGGGTCTGTTCTATGTGAACACAACTGGATTAACCCTTGCGAGTCCAAGCAGGAGAGAATTCGGGAGTAGGTCCTTTTGAGGAGTGACCAGAATCTCTCATGTTATTTTCAGGGCTACTTGGGGCATATTTGGGAAAGGTGCTGGTGGCAGCACTGGAGGTTTGAGGCATAGGATCACACTCACACCTGCAAGACAGGCCTCAGTCTGGATTCAGTCATCACACACAGGTGAACCTTCTCAGGGTACTTTCTTTGTCTTTTTTTTTTTTTTTTTTTTTTGTTTGAGACAGAGTCTCCCTTTGTTGCCAGGCTAGAGTCAGTGCCATGGCGTCAGCTAGCTCACAGCAACCTCACAATCTGGGCTCAAGCGATCCTTCTGCCTAAGCGTTCCGAATAGCTGGGACTACAGGCATGAGCCCCATGCTCGGCTATTTTTTGTATATATATTAGTTGGCCAATTAATTTCTTTCTATTTATAGTAGAGACGGGTTCTCGCTCTTGCTCAGGCTGGTTTCGAACTCCTGACCTCGAGCAATCCGCCTGCCTCGGCCTCCCAGAGAGCTAGGATTTCAGGCGTGAGCCACCGCGCCCGGCCTAGGACCCTACTTTTTTTCGGTGATCTTCCTTTGAGCCTAAGTCCTCTTCATGGCTTATAAGGAATTGCATGATCTGAATGATCTTCTGTTGCTTTGGGGAACATGGGAGTATCTGTGTGTATTTTTGAGGAACTCTACTTTAAACCATTGTGTCTGTTCCTTTTTTACATCATGTGTGAAATATGTGTGAGTAGTGCTATTGCTGGAATTTGCTTCAGAAATCCCAGGAACATCAGAGACACATGTATATTTTCTGCTTTATGATTTCATATATGAGGTTTCATTGTTATTTTGCAGAAATTTATGCTCAGAAATTTTATCAGAGCACTAAGAAGCTCCCTAAATATAAAAAATCTAATGTTATTTTACTTCAGAGTTTCATTCTTTTGTGTGAATTCAGATTAATAATTTATACCATATTTTTATATTCCTCAACTGTAATATAGTTTAATGTATCTACTCACTTCCTAGATTTCTTGAATATAATGTGTCATTAGGGATCTTAGAACACTGCTGAGCATATGTTAAACTCTCATTTGTAACCTTACATTTTTAATAACTATTATCTTATGTTTCTCTAGTATGAAGCGTACCTTGACTGTGTCATTCATATATATATGTATTCATATATATGAATATATATACATGTGTTTATATACATTTGTTTATATGTATATAATGTGTTTATACATATATACATGTGTTTATATCTATGATTGTGTATATAGCATGTAGATTTGTATAACTAAATATTTGTTGTGTACTATTATGTGCAATTTAACTTCTATGCATAAAAAATTCAACACTTTCTGTCCCTCCACACATGTTATACAATATATGTTACCCTTCACATTTTATATTGTATATCTAAGTTAACAAATTGTGGTTATGTTCATTTTTAATACTCCTGTTTTATAGCTTTTATACTAGAGTTGAAAGTAATTTATATACTACCATTATTGTTTTAGAGTATTGTGAATTTAACTATTTGCTATTTTCAGTGAGATTTATACTTTTATGTTTTCATATTGTTAATTGAAATTCCATTGTTTTAACTTGAAGAATTTTCTTTAATCATTTCTTTTTTTTTTTTTTTTTTCACTTTGTTGCCCAGGCTATAGTGCCGTGGCGTCACTAGCTCACAGAACCTCAAACTCCTGGGCTCAAGCATCCTTCTGCCTCAGCCTCCCTGAGTAGCTGTGAACTACAGGCATGTGCCACCATGCCCGG